TCCAGCAGAACACCAGGCGAAAGCAGAGCTCGAGATCCTAGAGCCAAGCTTACCCGACATTATACCGAGGATATCCCGGACGTCAGCCTGTACGAGATTAGAATTGCCCTCAAACAGCTTAAAAACAACAAGGCGGCGAGAGATGACGGAATCACAACAGAGCTTCTGAGAGCGGGCGGTACGCCGGTACTTAAAGTCCTCCAGAAGCTCTTTAACTCCGTCATCCACCAGGGCAAAACGCCGAAGGCATGGAGCAGAAGCGAGGTGATTTTGTTCTTCAAAAAGGGTGATAAGACCCTACTGAAGATCTACAGACCCATCTCGCTTCTGAGCCATATCTATAAGCTGTTTTCGAGGGTCATTACGAATCGTCTCGCTCGCAGGCTCGACGACTTTCAGCCTCCCGAACAAGCCGGTTTCCGAAAAGGCTTTAGTACCATAGACCACATCCATACGCTGCGGCAGATTATACAGAAGACCGAAGAGTATAATCGGCCACTTTGCTTAGCGTTTGTGGACTATGAGAAGGCCTTCGATTCGATCGAGACCTGGGCGGTGCTGCAGTCTCTCCAGAGGTGCCAAGTGGACTACAGGTATATCGAAGTGTTAAAGTACCTATACCAAAACGCCACTATGTCGGTCCGAGTACAGAATCAGAGCTCTAATCCTATCCAACTACAGCGAGGGGTGAGACAGGGAGACGTTATATCTCCGAAACTGTTCACTGCTGCGATGGAGGATATTTTTAAGCTTCTGGACTGGAAAGGACTCGGCATTAACATCAACGGCGAGTACCTGACACACCTTCGATTTGCCGATGACGTAGTCCTAATGGCGGAGACCTTGGAAGACCTGAACACCATGCTCGAGCATCTCAGTGACGCATCCCAGCGAGTGGGTCTTAAGATGAACATGGACAAGACTAAAATCATGTCCAACGCCCATGTTGCACCCGCTCCAGTTAATGTTGGGAACGTTACACTTGAAGTTGTTGACCACTACGTTTACCTAGGACACACAATCCAGTTAGGTAAGTCCAACTTCGAGAAAGAGATCTCTCGTCGAATCCAACTCGGATGGGCAGCGTTCGGGAAGCTGCGGAACATCTTCGCGTCCAAAATACCTCAATGCCTTAAGACGAAAGTCTTTAACCAGTGTGTGTTGCCAGTGATGACCTATAGCAGTGAGGCGTGGTCGTTTACTATGGGTCTCATAGGACGGCTCAAGGTCGCCAAGCGGGCAATGGAGAGAGCTATGCTTGGTGTTTCCCTGCGTGATCGATTCAGAAATGACGAGATCCGTAGGAGAACTAAAGTCACCGACATAGCTCGAAGAATAGCCCAGCTGAAGTGGCAGTGGGCGGGACACATAGCGAGGAGAACCGATGGCCGTTGGGGCGGAAAGGTTCTCGAATGGCGACCGCGTGCCGGACGACGCTCAGTGGGAAGACCCGCTACAAGGTGGACCGACGATCTGGTGAAGGTCGCGGGAAAACGCTGGATGCGGGCAGCGTAGGACCGATCGTTGTGGAGATCCTTGGGGGAGGCCTATGTCCAGCAGTGGGCGTCATACGGCTGATATGATGAGTGCATCTCGCACTTAATTAAACGCGGATATATCAATATTTTTGTGTATTTATACGATTAGGTGTAGGTTTCTTCTTCAGAAAAACGGTAGGTGTGTATGATTAGACCTCAATTTTTTACTTACATTTAATATTTACTACAACAACAATTATGCACATGAGTTGCATACGATGTTTTTCTCCACAATTACCAGGAAAAAACAAACTTGTATTATTAGTAACTACCGAGCTTGTACCGACTATCCGTAGCTTCTCTCAAAAGTTTACAACATCGGTTGGTGACAACACTTTTCACTTTCGACTAATATATCCGTCAGAATGTCACTTTAGAAATGCCGTCAAATTATTATATTATAGCTATTGACGGGATTGTTACCATGTACCTTGTTTTTTATGAGTCTCCGATATTTCGGCACTGTTGCAAGCGCCATGATCACGATTAGTTACTCCGTGATCATGGCGCTTGCAACAGTGCCGAAATATCGGAGACTCATAAAAAACAAGGTACATGGTAACAATCCCGTTAATAGCTATAATGTTAGTGACCATGAAAGTTTAAAACAATATAAAGTTATTATATGTTTTTATATGAACTTCATATAAGGATTCTGGTCTTTACTGTGATTTATAACATGGATTATATACACCGTTATGTTGTATGTGAGCTGGGCTTATATTTATTTGCCAGATCATTGAAGTAGTCTAAAATACGTTCTCCGAATATGACTTGGCGTTTTTGCTGTTCCACTGATTGAAAGTTTCGTAAGCCGCTAGGTATTTTTCTTTGGATTTTGGCGGCAACAGCCTACTCGCGATTCGTGACACGATAATTATATCCAACGCGGTTAAATTAATAGTTCAATCATTATTTGAAGTAGACATTTTTGATAATAACTAACCACACTTTACAAAATATTTAAGGAAAATGGCGCGTAAGTTTTGTTTATTTTGCACTAAGCGTGGGGCTTTCAATGCACTCGTAGGTTCAATAAATGAAGCTAAAGGAATATTTTTTATTAAAAATAGAACCGACTTCAAAACAACTGAAAATGAAAAACTAAGTTTTAGCGACTGACATATTTGAAGTCGATACAATTATCAAAATCTTCCCTGCAGGCACATGTTTTAATATCGACTTCAAATCTTATTTTTTAATTTCAGTTTATTTTAGGTTGGTTTTAGTTATACTAAAAAATATTTTATATTTCCATTTTTAGTGTATTACGGAATACGCCACTGGTTGGAAATTTTTCGGGTCAGTAATTTTTGAGATAATCGTGGACAAACATACATAATTACATACATACAGGTTAAACTGAGAACATCCTTTTTTGAAGTCTGTTACAGGACTGTGCAGCCGGAGCTGCAGCAATATAAAAAATAAAATAAACTATATGTATAAATTAATATTTGTAAATACGTAAGTTATGTTAATTAGTGTTTCTAAACATAAAATGAATGTAATATTCGTAAAAATATTCAATCTCCCTAGAATTTTTTTTGCTGAAATTTCAAAAAATATATATTATAGCAATATATTGTTTTAAACTTTCATGGTCACTTACATTATAGTAACTGAGTTACTCCGTGATCATGGCGCTTGCAACAGTGCCGAAATATCGGAGACTCATAAAAAACAAGGTACGTGATAACAATCCCGATAGTAGCTGTAATATATTATAGCACTTATACGGTAATATTTTACAGCACAAGTGTAATATGCTGTACTATGAAACTAATAACTGTGTAATAAGAGTCAGTTTACGAACAACAGTGTTGAAAAAATATTATTAAAATAATCAGAGTATTTAAGGTAAAGAAAAACATTGAAGTATATATGCATGCATGGACGCAGGAAGAAGGGTCGCCTCGATGAGATTTTTTCCCCATTGAGTGACACTTCTGCTGGTGTTACCCAAGGCAACGTTCTATCTCCTCTTCTTCTCGCGATATTTATTCATTCTATTTCCAAAAAATATACCTTCTTCCTACCACCTGTATGCAGATGATTTTCAAATTTAAAGATCTCAATTATCTAAAGCAATACTGACCACTAATAATGATTTGCGACAATTTTTAGAGTGGAGCAAATATTTTGGACTAGAAGTAAAAAATACCTCCAAAACACAGTGCATTGTTATAAGTAGCTAAAGGTTGATTGCCAAAGTGAATTTTCAATTACTTCCTAACATAAGTTTTACTGGCACCAGTATTCCATTTAGTGTTTCCGTTAAACATTTAGGGATAATTGTCGATAACCGTTTCAGTTGGGATCCACAGTTATAAGCTGTTAGCCGAAAATTGTTAGCTTCAGCAGCTTCGCTGAAGAGACTCTGTAATTTCCTTCCTAATACCACCATAATTGTCTTAGCACAGTCTTTGCTACTTCCTAGTCATGATTACGCTGGCGCCTGCTATCCTGATATTATTTCAATGTGTAAACTGGTATTTTTCTTTTGATTATGGCCAAATTTTGATAAAACATTCGGTACGTACACCTCATACACAACTGTCAGTGTGACTGGCTCAGTGAATTCTCGGGTACGCCAACTTTGGTGTAATATTTGTTACCGCATTTGACAAGTATGGCGGTATCTAGGCAAGCGAAGCAAGACCAATCATTCATCTATGGTGACCATAAAAGTTTAAAACAACATAAATTTAACTGTTTCATACTTGGGCCTTACTCGAGCTCGACTTAAATCGTATTGTTATTTCTACTAAGTATATAATTTCGATGGGACCTTTTCATATGATGAAATATAATAATGTCGCTAAATAGGCAGGGCCATATCAAAGATTCGGGCTCACCCGTTTCTCCGGAAGGGATTGCGCCGTTTATGTCACCTGACCCCTTGTTTAGATAATGCCACCGTTTCAACCTAAATAACGCACCAAATGTCCGTTCCGTAGTATGCATAATTCAGTTTTATTTCGTCTAGTCACGTCATTTACTTTCGCAAGACATTCAACAGGGAAAGTGTTTGTAATTTGAATACCTATGTGAAACTAAAACAAAAGCGACTTTTATAATTAAGATTTGGTCTTAGTTATTATTAAAGACCTGAAAGAAAATACTTTTATATTATTTCGATCGGTTATAAGCAAAGTGCATTTTTTTCCAGAAAATTCTTCCATAGAAATACTTTCACATTAATATACGCATTTTCTGTACAAAAATAAGCATCATAATATTAGGATTTACCGACATATATTTAAATAGGTCTAATAAAATATAAAGGTAGGAATGTAGGTACTATAATAGCCACCCCTAGAAACTTCAATTAATTAATTAAATTTAATGCTTAATTAAATCACTAGCTGATGTTTTATTAAATACTTCTCACAAAGAAGCATCATCACCATTAAAGCATCTCAGTGATGCCTTCATTTATAAAGAAGGTATTTAACTTACCATATCTCCTTTCTCTCCTTTGACCGCACTAAAGACTGAAACAAATAACCATCCATTTAAATGAATACCTTGAATTCTAAACACAAAAATAAAACAAGTAACTGAGAGACTTAATACAAAGGAACGAAAAATTAATTGAAGCAAATTCAAATTAAACGGTTAGCAAAAAAAACAACAATACAATCAAAGAAAGCCAATTCGAAATAAAATTATTCATCAACCCCGAGGCTTATTCCTGAATGTTTGTAAGCAAATTTCGAATAATTTCAACAACTTTGTTAGGAAACGTTGAATATTGACCCGTCCTCGCTTCGCTTTGATGAAGACTTGGTTTTTTATTGTGCATTAAAACACCTTGTATAGAAAAGAGACTGAAAATTATCATCTAACGGGTGATTATTATATTTTTATTGATAAGGGTTTAACTGCTAGATATTTAAATCAAAAGAAAATTTTGAGAGATGAGAGATGGCTTTTTTGCAGCCTGAGAAATACCAGAAGAAATTCAACACAGCAATATTGGTTGATTCATCCGTCCAGATAGAGGAAGATGCAGGTTCCTATCTCGTCTGAAAATTAGACCCAGTGCATGTTTTTTTCTAGTAAAATTTTCTTTAGGTCTGACTGATGCTGGAAACCACATGAATATTCGTTCAGAAGTGTGCTTATTTGAGATTTTTGTTGTCATACAGACAGACAAGCGGAATGATAGACTCTGTTTTATAATAATTGTAATGATAAATGAGCATATGTTTTCCTAGAACTCGTATTTGCAGCGATTGCAGACTACTAATTTTGTCATGAATTAATAAAAGTTTTTATCATTTTATTTTCAAGTCTATTGTAAGTCATCTTAAAATATTCATAGTATATTATAATATATTTTGAATAGGCCCCTCATTTCACCAGAAAATGAAACAAAAGAAAGTCCTTGGTTTTTAAATTATTTGATTGATAAACACTTTAATTTCTCTTTTCGTGATTCCATGCTGGATACCTAATTTTTTTATCATATCGATATTTTTAATATTTTTTCCTAAGTGGAATTTTAACATAATTCATTATAGCTTCGGAAGAAATAAGTTGATAAAAATATAATATACTTACATGGTGAAGAATGCGAGATCACGGGTAGCCGATTTTCATCTGGATTAACCTGTTGACAACAGCACATTTTTAATAATAGAAATTATTTTGTTTTACTCAATATTAAAATAAACATATTCGAATACAAATATTTCTCTTTATAAGTTGTATGTGTGCTATATAACTATTAAGTTAGCTTATTATTACGTTCGTATTGAGTAAAATTACGGTTGCCTTTGCCACTTAGGACAACGCCTTATAAATTTGACTGTGGAATTCTCAATGGTTAGTTTAGCCGCTAGCAAGCAAGGAGGCATTCCTAAATTAATGTGTTTCCGACACGCACCGTTCCATTTTAAAAGTAATGAACGCAAATTGCTATGCGATATAAAAATCGCCAAATAAATTACACTCACCACTAATAAATTACTGTTTTCATATGGTTAAGAGATTTCAGCTTTAATGTCATTAAGTTTTTTTTTGGATTTATATATAAGTAGTATATAACCTTTGTTGTGGTCTTTTCTGGTGTGTGTATGAGTATGTTTGTGAATAAATTAATACGAAATTTGGCTTCGTTGAGCTGGTTAATGAGAAATGTTTAATGTTTATACATAATGATTACATTATAGGTAGCTCAAGGATGATTGCCAAACCGAATTTGCAGTTACTTCCTAACTTAGCTCTTGCTGGCACCGGTATTCCATTTAGTGTTTCTTTTAAAAATTTAGGAACAATTGTTGATAACCGTTTCAGTTGAGATCCACAGTTACAAGCTGTAAGCCTAAAATTGTTTGCTTCAGCAGCTTCGCTGAAGAGATTCCGTAATTTCCTTCCTATTACCACCAAAATTGCCCTAGCACAGTCTATGCTGTTTCCTATTCTTGATAACGCTGACGCCAGCTATCCTGATCTCACGGAGGACCAGCTTAACAAGCTTGAGCGACTTCAAAATTTCTGCATTCAGTTCATATTCTGCTTACGCAAATATGACCATGTCTCAATTCCGATCACAGCTCAAGTGGCTACCTATAACTTCGCCGGAATACTCACATTCTCACACTTCTCTACAATATATTATCGTTGAATCCTTTGTCCCCGCGCTATCTCAAGGAATGCTTTAATTACCTTCATAATTCGAATGTGTTATCTCTTCGGTCGTCAGAAAATTTAACCCTAAAAATTCCTATCCATGACACGACCTTTTATGGTCGTTCTTTTACTGTCCAAGGTATACGTCTATGGAATTCTCTTCCAGTATCGATAAGACGAGCACAATCTATTAATGTCTTTAAAAATCTTGTTGTAAATCACTATTTGTCGATGTATCTCTGCTGACTAGACTAAATTTATATATGTGTAGTCTATGTATATATAATATGTCTATATGTATGTATATATATTTAATTCATAAATTCGTTTAAATCCCTTGTTTTGTTACTGACGCCGCCGACTTCAGCTTTCTTTCAATCCTCTCCATCCAAAGGTTGTCTGGAAGAAATCGCTTTTAGCGATAAGACCGTCCATTGAAGCAGTCTTTTTTTACAATTGTAATATCCCTCATTTCTGTTCTGTGTTGTTGTGTTTTCAATAAAGTATTGTGTATTGTATTGTATTGTATCGTATCATTATACAATTTTTATGTACTCTTCCAACGCCGAAAAGGATATAGTAGCAAAAACTTTTTCTAAATACCACAAAGTATGTGAAACATGCACACAATCTACCTGAAGGTATAGCAAGCGGATACTGCGGACTATAAATGATCGCAAAACTCTCTGACCTACTACTAGTATATTGCTAATAAGAGAGGTAGGGCATAGCGGATTTCCCGTTCGAATTGGAGCGCCAGTCTGGGGAAGTAACCTCCATCTTAAAGAAATGAAAAGAAATTCAATAAGATTGTATGGTCTTTTTATGTATGGCATTGTATAGAGAATAAATAAATTATTATTATTATTATAGGTAGCGATAGGCCTATCGATAGGGTACATGGTGTAATGTAGCACCTGGTTTTTTACCCTTGTGTACGAAGGGTACGGCCAAGTCACACAACATTAACTATAATAATAAAGAAATCTCAGTAAGGAACCTTAGCCTTGGCACGGCTTTGTCTAGATTTCATTACATTTTAGAGATAAACAAGCAACTCCATCGAGACTTGGCTAGTTTTTACAGAATGTTTTTGGTGGGATTTCACTTCTTTCTGTAGAAACGTGGGCATATTGATATATTTTCTTAGATTTCTTATTTGACATATTTTTTTTAGGAGTAGTCTTTTTATTATTACAAATCTTTATTTTCTTTTTTTTCCGGTTCTGATTCTTGAACAGTAGCAATAGTTTTTCGTATTACCTATTCGCGTTCTTTATTTATTCTTTTAGACGGTTTAATTTCTGAAAGATCGGCGCGGTATTTACGCCTAAGCCGGTTGTATTCGGTGATCGCTGAAGCTTGAGCTATTATACTCTTGAAGTCAACATTTATGAGGTGCACCCTATGAAGATTGGTTACTCGTGAAAGCGCCAATTAAGCTTGACCACAAGAGAATATGGAGGTGCCAATGTCCATTTTTAAGACTTAGACCTTGTCAACACCGCCACTCTTAGTCCAACGCATTATATTTTGACCGAATTTTGAGCGAAATTAATATTTTAGTGTAATTTGTTTATTTAATTTGTGTAATTTTCGAGTAGAATAAAGTTAATTGTTTTAAGTTGAATATTTTTTCTTGTAAACTCGTAAGTATAAGTATAAAAGCCAGACTAGTATTATCAAGAGTTTTCCATTAATTTTTATTTATATGCGTATTAAAAGCAGAAAGAGAGGCATTAGCCCCGCAGTGGGACGCTATAGACTAGATTATATTAAAAGATGTGTCCCACTACGCTAGATTTTTGCAATGACATTCGATTTTTTTTGTACCAATAGTAGAAGGGGACATTACCATATCTCTAATACAGCTGAGACCAGCAGGGTTCTTCATCAGATACTTCAGACCTTCGATTTTTGACATCAAATGAAGCGGCCCACGAAGTTGAATATTTTTGTAAAGGCGGTATGTCGATCTCTTCTAACAGTTTGGTTGGGCTCTTGTGTTTTCTAATCAGGGTCACCAGGCACTCCAGATCTTCAATTATCGCAGTTTTTATAGATTTCCCTTTATGTGGCCATTATACCCTAACTCTGTACCAAATTTCAGCTCTCTGAGTTTATGGGAAGTACTAGTTCTATTCTGATGATCATGAGTGAGTGAGTGTCGTAAATGCTAAACTTTCCTTTCGCTTAACTTCGGAACTAAATGACTTGAAATTTTGGATTTTAGGTATGCTATTATAGCTTACTAGATGACGAAAATTTCAGCGTTCTGGTCTTATCCAGAAATTCTCAAATAGGGGCCTGAAAATGCGGCGAAATGGTTCCAGTAAAGGATGGTACGGCAGTGTTTGCTTCGCGCTCGACTTGGCGGTGGCACTGCCGTGCCTCCCGATATTTAACTTAAGTTTGTAGTCTGTATCACTAAAGTCGTTTGTTAAATTTAATGGAATACTCTTTGATATTCCTAAAATGATATCACCATAGTAGTTATAAGATATAGGTTTAATTAGTTTTCTTTACATCACATTTCGTGGTTATATTGATTTTAAGTGGGCAATGATTTTATCATGTGCATGTTTTGTTTTAATAAAGCGTTTTTAATTTTTAGTGTATAGGGAGTATATTACAATATTTAAATAATCCTTCATAGTTGTTATTGAATTTTATTTATATTCCGACTATTACTTTGAGTTTTCTTAATTGTAGGATGAATATTTTATCTAACTAAGTTTTAAAAGCTCTACCATAACATGTAAGTAGATATGAGTGTATCGTACCTATCTCATGTATTTAATAAGTAATTTTTTGACGTGAACTCTAACGATGATGACTAACTTTTTTTCTTCGTCTATCAGGTAGATTAACATGTCAAAAAGTATTTAACATGTATTTTTTTCTTTTTCACATGAGCAATCAAAACATATAAACAGAAATATATTGATTTGAAATGTCGCATGAAGTCACATCTTGGTACAATTTTCACTTGGCAGTGACGTCACGAGCACTTACTCCGGAACTTTAACGTGCTTTATTATTGTAATTTTCTGATTGATTGACAAAACAAAGAATAAGTGTCCATTATTTTTGAAAATCTAACTGACAGACTAAATATAATTTCGTTTATAACCCCGTCATCACCCCTATTAATGTGGGCCTAGCTCCTTGTCTTGTGCTCTTCATTTTTAAGAAAACTCCCACTGTGGACAACAACTCGCTATAGGTCACAAAGGTAAATAATTTAAACTGATATCAATCGTCCACCTTTCTATCTCCAATGAGCCAAAGCACTTTCTCCCTTATAAAACATGGTTTTGTCTGATCCAAACGGCAGTTGGCATGGACGTGCCTATACGAAGATTAATGAACGTTTTTCTCAATAGCGTATTCTTGAATGGAGGCAGAACCCTATTCTGTTTCAACACCGTTCAGGGTGTGACGTTATTATGGAACATTCAAGCATCAAATCCGTATAGGTAACTTTATAAACAATGAGTTGTGATGGGTAACCATGGTTGGGAGTACTGAAGATGGATTTCCAAGAAATCGATTGCCTATTAGGTGTTGTGTGTGCTATGTTGTCCTGGCAGAAACCATTATACGACAATATGGACTTAGATGCAAGAATATATTATATACTAGAGTATTTGGCAAATTATAACAACGACAACTAATGTCTATGGTGTTCGAGTAAGAGTATATATTCATAATTCTGTTGTGTGGCATTGCAGTAAAAAACTGTATCAAAAATTCAATTTTAAAGTTGCACTGAAAACATTTCTTTGGACATTATGGCATCTCACTAGTATGTGACACGACAGTCATTAAAACGTCAAACGATACAAAAATGTCAGTTTGGCAGGAAGTCTACTAGCGTGTGACATCATTTTGGTCTTCGCCAATTCCATGTATTATAGTTCACGTGACCATAAAACCAAAAGAATATATATATTTAACGTTTTTTTAAGTTATTAA